CGACGCTCTGTTCACCGTCGCTTGATAACGGTGACCATGGTGAAACCCAGGGTTAAAGTTCGAGGCCACGTTTCTGTTTTTACCGCGGAAGAACGGGGTTGGAGAGGCGGAAGGTAAAAAAGATTGGATATAAAGATGGTTCTGGTGAATAGGGACTCCTCTGATCGGTCTCATCAAGATTGATCTCAGATCTTGATCTTGATCGTAAAGGGTTTTGTTTTCTTGAGGCTGTTGGTGAAAAGGGTGGAGGAAACAGTTGGTGGACTGGTTGATGGTGGTGAAGTGGTGGGGGTGGCGATGAGCAGTGTTTAGAGCCCGAGACACCAGGGAAGATGAGGTTCTGTCTGAATGAGAGGGTTTGCTCCAAAACCCTAGTCGCATCTCTACTTGTTCTTCTCTTCGTCCGCATTCTAAAGAGGTTTTGCTGTTTGGCGGGCCGATCTGTAAGTACAAGTCTGGTTCTGAAGGGAAAAGCTCCATAACAAGAGAACCGCTACTCGAGCTAGTGAATGAAGTACTTGACAATATCACTCTCTCTTTGATGAATTTGAAGAATATGTGATACGGTTTTCTTGAAGAAAAGGGGTTGATTGGTATTTATTCGAAATGAGTTTTTATATTTAATGTTTTTTTTTTTAAAAAAAAAATTGTAAAGAGGGAAGTGGTAGTTGCAAAGAGGGAGGGTATCTGTTTGATAGAGAGAGAGAGAGAGAGAGAGAGATGGTAAAAGGTATATGGGCAAAACGAGTGGTCTCTTTCTTCCTTTGCGTTCAAATATGCGCGAAAAAACAAAAGATTGATGCTTTTAGGAGTAAGGTTGGGTGAAACGTGGATTATCTTTTTCTCTTCCTTGTTTATGATAAAATTTTGAAATATATATATATATATATATATATATATATCACATAACAAAAATTGAATTTGGCTGGCATTACTGAATAAGTAATTTATATTAATCCATAGTTCTGCCGATAAAACGAGTATGTAAATCGTTTATCTCATCTCTTTCGAATATCAAATTAGAGAGCAAATTATATATTATAATCACATAATTTGTTCACGAATTCATAATTAGTTTAAATCTCGACCCAAACATTCACTTATCCAAAAAAAATAATTTATATAATGATGATAGAGATTTTATATAAAACTTTTTTATAAATTGGGTTTTTTTATGGGATTAATCTAACTCTAATATAAATTATTTTTATTCGTATATCTCTAGCTAAATGAATTTGTTAATAGTTATTAAAATTTGAACGCAGATTGGATACATTCGATTGTTTTTATGCGATTCAAAGTCATGTCTATATATATACTCCTTTGGAGGCACATAATTACTGACTTTTGTGAGAATAAAACAAAAAAAGGGAGAAAGAATATAAAAAGATCACTTTTTATAAAATAGAATATAGCAAAATTTTCAAAAAGGTAACTTGTCTTGTCACACGTCCTTTTGTTTTCTTGAAAATTGGAAATATACCTAACATTTATTTGCGTGGCACATTGTACACACTACACATAGGAAAAAAGAAGAAGCAAATATATGATATTTAGAAGATAGATGATTATATATATATATATATATATATTCTAAATTTGTTATTTTACTATATAAAAGCGATTAAAATTTATAACAATTATTAAAAATTCAACTACAAAGGTTTAGTAATAAAATTGAAGATTTTAATACGCAAAAATGGTATTATAAATAAAAAAATGTACTAAAAAAGTATTTGTTAAAAAATATAATACAGTAAAATATAAATTGTAAAGCACCGAAATTATTAAACAACAGTGTCTAACTTTAAGATTTGGACCGATCATTTATTCTTCTCATATATTTTCAACCCAGCAGATTTTTTTATTATTATTTGTGGGACCACTAATTATGCTCATAATTAATTCGGGCAGTTATGTATATATGTATGTGTATGGTCCTTATAATTCACAGAAGAACATATTGATAAAAACAACTTATGAATTATTACGTCCACGTATTGAGATTGTTTATACGACCGTATTTCCGAGCAATCCACATAATTTTTAATATATATATTAATTAACATTAAGAGGACCGTCAAATTCTATTGATTATGAACGAAAAGAAAACAGGAAATTATGAAAATGTTGACTATTGATTCGTTTTTTCAGTTGTATTTGCACATGTAACATGACAGAATATTAAATTGTTTAATTTATTAAAAGGACACACCACCACATTAATTAAGTTTTTGTTTTCGGGCCTCTCTGCCACTACACCGGGAGGTCAGTCCACGTTTTTATTCCCGAAATACCCTTTGATTGTTCATGCTCCCTTGATTAGTCCACACTTCCTTCACTGTGCGTGTAATAAATCAAATCAATTAAGAATGTCTTGACTATCTCTAAACGCCTCACGGTAATTTCTAAGAGACAATCAATACACTTTTTTTTTAATTTTCAGACTTGTTTGGTAAAAAAAAATGCATTAAAAAACTTCAAAAATTGTAAAGTCTAGACAACCAAATGTAGAAACATCCTTTTTTTTTGTTTATTAACTTGTATTATAGTTTTAACATCTTCAAACAATGATAATTGAGATATTTAATACATATACATATATATATATATAATATCGATTTTCATGTTAGTTGTAGCACGAGACCAAAAAAAGAAAAGAAAAAAGCTGATAGAATGCGAAAAGATAATGTTGCATGCAGTTACAGACGAATCATGCGCGGAGAACATGCAAGTATTATTAATCCAAAATCAAGCAGTAACCACGAGGAGATTACTATGTAATAGGGGTGATAGGGGTGAGCACGCGTCAGGTACCCTGATTTTTTGGATACCCGAGGTTCGTTTTCGTTTTCACTGGTTTTAAAAAGACATTATCTCGTTTTTCGTTTTTGTGATGTCCGGTACCCGCGGTTCGAATATCTGTCGTTGAATTTGATTATCCGAGTGAACCCGTTCAAATATTTAGAAAAGGTTGACTTTTGTTGATTTTAAGGGTATTTTAGTAATTTAATTTTAAAATATATTTAATAGTTATTGTAAATATATTAAATAATAAGGATATAATCGTCATTTTATTTATATCCGAGTATTCGAGAGATCCGTCGCCGTTCAAACAAAACCCAAACTCGAATCCGCAATCCAGATTTTTGGTTTTATCGAATCGGTTTTCGTCTTCATTATATAGCGAATATCCGTATTTTGAATACCCGTGAAGTTGAGTATCCCAAAACCCGCAGGATTTAAGTACCTACGTCCACTCATACTATGTAATACGTATCATATCATATCTATTATGATTTTTAATGGTTGTGAGAGATAAGATAAATGTACCATCAATAATTACCTTTAACGGGTTTTTTTTTGGGCTCTGCAACTGATCTAAGTACTTTTATTGGTCATTCTCATATTCTGATCGGGATTTATGTCTGAATCGAAAGCTAAGTGATTTTTAGAGTTTGTGGAGTGCAATTAATCTCTACAATAATGAGACATGGGCATGTAATAAATTGGTGGTTTATACATTATAATATTCAAAGTTGATGTATGTACTTAATTGTTCCGAGCGTGTAACAAAAGTTTTGCCTTATTTATAAAAATCACTGTTGTAGTATTTTTTTTTTTTACTAATTATAGTGCCCCAATCATGAATGTCGATATTTCAATGGTGCAAAACAGTAGGAGCTACAAGGAAAAGACTGGTGAGGATTAGAAAAAGCAGGGAACAGACTGAATCTTTCTGTAAATGAAATGGGGGGTTTAGACAGATTAACAAACAAATTAACTTTTGTGGATTTTGATAAGAACCAACCCACTCATTAGAGAAATGAATGTAATGTCGGTGGAGGAGCTAATAAATTAATAATATCCCCTAATCAAAATACATGGGTTTTTTTTTTGTGTCCATGCCATCTATATGTTTTTCTTCCCTCAACAAGTAAAAGAAAAAAAGGGAGAGATATAAATGATTGGGTGGACCCACTAGGTCTCATTTATGTATTATTTAATAAAAACTTGGATGAAGAGTGGGGGGAGGGGGGATATCTCTCTCTACTCATGAATGAATATAATTACACAAGTGGAAGTTTTTTTTTGATAAAGTTTTGCCCAGGTGGGTCCGAGTGGAAGTTATAGACGTATATTGATTTCTTTTTATGAATGCATGGAAATAAGAGAAGGTAAAGTAAGCAAGTCACAAGGCAAATACTGCCGCTAGAGATGATCATATGCGCATTGTGACTCATTCATGTGTAGAGAGATATCCCCCCCCCCGTCGACAGTT